CAAAATCATGTTCTTTTCGTTAGCAGTACCAAAAAAGAAGCATAAGGTTAATGGTTCGATCCCCCGTGGCGACTAAATTTTGCATTTGGGTTGGCGCCTACGGTTTGGTGCCAAATCGCGCTAAATATCAAAATCAGATGTCAAATTCATCGTCAGGACCATTTTGAAGCCAACAAGTGGCCGCCAACCTTGATTGCAAAATTTAGTCGCCGCGGGGGATCGAACCATCAAGAGTATTCACCACTTTTTTGGTACTACTAAAACCGTTCAGCGAAAACGAAACATGGTTTTGTGGTCCATACATGCGTCCCTACAATATGTACTAAACCGTTTCCAAAAAGCGCACCTTGCCCTGAAAGACCTCCCTTGTCAGTGTAGTGTCCTACTCTTGAACAGGTGATTACCAGGTTTTGTACTAGTGTCTTATTTGTGATGAGCTTACCTTCATTTCTCACTCGTTGTGTTTAAACCTTTGGGAGAATCATGAGGAGAATGTAATAGCGAACAGTTCTGTAGAAGATGCTCCGTTAATCTGCCTGTTTGCTTGTTGGGTAGAAAATCATCGCCTGAAGGCCTTCTATTCGTTATCTTCTATTTTATTTGCCACGACATCTACTATATTCCCATGTGAGAAGTTTTCAAAACCTGAATTAGAAGAACGCGCTTGACGATACGGTCAATTTGTTATGATTAATTGGGCGATTTTATTGTTTACCACCACAAATTTATTTACATTGATGCTTATGTGTTACATTAGGCCCAGAAAGAAAGCCACAAATGCAGTGCGCCTTTGCGTCGTAGTGTACATGCTGTCTGAAAGTGGTGGGTGACGAACTTTACATGATGGATTTTGGCACATGATGAATGGTCTTCTCGCTCCCCTTACCATTCTGAATTTCCTATCCGTAACCTTCATAATTGACGCTTAAAGGAATCGTCTACGAAACCCGTGCTCTTCTTTCCCTGCGTTAAGACATATTTGCGACCACTGTTGGCAGTGTACAAGTTTTCACGCATGAAAAAAGAAGAGATTCAAAAAATGAAACTTCAGAAGCGCCCAATGTGGACCCATTGATCACTAGGCGGAGCCAATGGAACCATGTACGTGCTGGGACGGTCATGTGTTAGGCAACGCGTCGAATGAATTTTATTTGAACATCCGTACTCGACGAGTACATACAAAATGTCGACAAATCAGAAGTGCAATACAATTCTCAACGTACATCTGTCACAAATGTATGCAGCGGAAAGGCTTCCACTTGATCTTTATTCTATAATTAGAAATTTGGAGAACAATTTGAACATCCGTATTGGGAGAGTACAGGCAATGTCGACGGATTACGGAGTACAAGAGTTGAAGCTGTTTTGCATATAGGTAGACGGCTGAAGAATATACTGAGTGGCGGACGAGTCCAATTGGAGCGTTGGCGCTGCAAACATGTGAATTCAGATTGCCTTCAAGAATTGGAACGAGTAACAGTTCTCTTACTTTTCCGATTCGCTGACCGAAACAAATGCAGTTTTTTCGTTCTTTTTGTTATTCACCTAGAGGATGGGTCAAGCTACTGATTCTTGAGAAAGATAGAATTATGCACTTCCCGTGGGTGATTCCTTCAAACCCTTCATCATCAAATGGCATAATCAGGCGAATCGTCAGATGGGAAAGGTGTACAATGGTAAGGACCATCTAAAATGAACGTTGCAGGTGAGAAGTTGGTCAATGGAGAAAGAAAAAGTAGAAAAAAACGTCGGGCAGGGGCTTAGACAGGGACTCCCCCTGCCGTTTAGGGAGACGTGTGTTGGACGAGTTGTCCGAACCTGCCCGTAGTACATGCGCTCCAATTGCAACTGCTGGCAAATAGCCATGCATGCTTGCAAATACATGGCTATTTGCCAGCAATCGAAATTGAGTAAGCGACTCCTTTCACTGTCATATGTTAATCGTTATGGAATCGACCTCATACAGCGCGGCTCATACAGAGTCCTGGGCTACCTGCAGTCCCGCAACGACCGCTAGTCAAGCACGGACTCTGCACAGCGTATGTTGGAGCGATCCGCCTCGGTATGGGTGATCCGCCCCCTCCAAGAGGACTTCGACCCCTTCCAGCGCATTTTAGAGGTAGGTTTTGAACTTAAAGACATTTCCTATAAACTTTAGTTGGGCTGGGGCATGTTTTGACCGCCTAATGACCAAGTAGTTGAAACCCTGCCTGGACTGTTGCTTTAAGAAGAGTTGGACGTTGCTTGGTAATAGTGTTTTACATGTATACTTTCATCACGTTGATGGCCATGGCCAAGAAACAAGAAAGACTTGTAGTCTGCATCTATTTAGACATCTCGGCCCCTATGCGCTTAGGGGACCGGTTTTGATTCGGCTAGGGTTTACAAATAACCAATCACCAACCACATTGCAGATAGTGTTAATAACCAACCACATTGCATTTTGTTCTCTAACTTTTTAATTTTATTTCATCTACGGTCAAACTGAACTGCATCCAAAGCTAGCCGCTCATTTTCATAATTAAGGTGAACATAACGGTTGTGGAATTGGACCCTGTAATAGCTGAAATTGCTCGAGCATGGTTCGGTGTTGTGGAATCGAAAAATCATCACGTGATTGTTGATGATGGACTGAAATTCATAGAGAAGGCTGCCAAATCAGGTATGACTTTACAGAGTGTATTCTTTCTTTCAAAAGTGGCGTAGTGTCGATTGGCACGCTTACCGACATCGTAAACCGCAAGGAAAGGCAGCAGTTTTCAAAGCAGAACACGCCAAAGACTGTAATTAGGTTTGCATGTTTACAGCAGAAGCAGTAAGATACTGTGATAAAGGCATTTCTCTACATATAGTATACAGTTGGGCGGAAGTGGTGTAGTGACAAGTGGCGCGCTTACCACGCGAGCGGTCCGGGGATCAAATCCTGGGTCGTGAGTCGCCCGGGCCAACCAAGCCTTCCATCCCTCCGGGGTCGGTTAATTGGTACCAGACTTGTCTGGGAGGATAAAAACACTGACTTGTACATCGGCTGGCCCCCGCAAGTCATTGTATAGGCCATTCAAACGCCACTACGAATGTACAAATGGAAGTAGAATGCGTGCCGCATCCCAAAAAGGGATTGATCAACGGCAAATGCTTTATCCTTATCCTTATTCTTCCGATACTGATAGTGTTTGGTAGTGATGCTTCATGGGCTACTGCTTGCCAGCATTGAAACCATTATTTTCTACTCTTGAAATTTTGTGAATTATTTAGGAGACAAGTTTGACGTGTTGGTACTGGACGCTTGTGATGAAGCGATAAAATCTCCCTGTCCAGCTGCGGCCTTCCGGAACAGAGAAGTTATAGAGAAGATGAAAGACATCTTAACAGCTACAGGTGCGTTGGCCCGCCAAAGGCAGGTCGTCACTCACTCACAGACAAGAAGTGGGAAACTAATATCCGGCAGCTTGAACGTTCTTGTCTTTTTGGTAGCATGAATACGACTATGAATTTGTAAGTGGCCAAAGATCAGTTTTCATTCCCATCTCGGTTACAGAGAGATCAGCGTACGGCAGATTATTATTTAACATTATTATTATAGTATCGAAACTCGTTGAAAACTGTTTTTCAGGCTGCCTAGTTGTCAACATACTTACCCACAACACTGAAGGAATCCCAACGGGTTTACCCGAGGTGAACGGTTCATTGAAATGTCGAATCTTTCTTCTTATTTCATGTTAAGATGCTTCTGTATTACAGATAATTGGTTTGTTTACTTCGGTGTTTCCTGCTTGCATCCAAATGAAAATGGTCAAAGAGGTAAGCTTTGGATTTGAAAAAAAGTTTCTCAAGTCAATTAAGTATTTATTTTAAGGTCAACGTTGTACTAACTTGTGTCCCATATACAATCTCCAACATTCGTGCGCAGCTCAGCTTTTATAATAGCCGCCTTGATGCGATAGTAACGAAGTTCAAGTTGGTCAAAGTCTTGGAGGGGGTTGTTCTCGTTTGACAGCCTTTAGATTGTTGTATACCTCAAAGGTATCAAATTGTTACCTCATTCACGCGAGCTTCTCCTTTGTTCTCCATGTTTATTCCGAAATGTAGCCACTCCAGTTAGAAAGCTAATACTATGGGTCGCATATGTATGTGTAGCCTTACATTTCAAAGAATGCTTTCCAGTCAATGTATCGTGCCGATTAGTTTATATGATCGCAGTAGAGCTTTGTTGTTAGTTATTTGTTAAAAGAATTGCTCAGTAGAATAGTATACAGTCAAAGAATTGTAGATCATTGTAGTGGAAGATCTGAAATATTGACGATAGATGGTTTTACAGGTCGTGGCCTAAGCTATTCAAGTGAACCTGTGCGAGTGCGCGAATTTACCTGATTTTCAATCGGCGTGGCGATCACGAATACTTTTCATGTAACGTTTGATAACTAAACCCGATGATAGCACTAACACATATGCTTTGGTAAACTTCGCGTAAAGCCAGATGCGATTAGAAGGCGCAGTAGGAGCTGTGGACTACTTATTCATCCCCAGATTCGGACGATTGATGCGAATTGTGGAACTCTGAGCGAATCCAGGTTTTAGTTGCAGCGAACTAAGCTAACCGATTTTTCCCTTTATTTGAAGTAAACATGGAATCAATAGGGTGTCATCCCTCCAAGCGAATGTTTGCGAAATCAAAGCATAGCAGGCAAAGCATAGGTCAGGCCATGGAATCACACTGTGCCTCGACTTTTGGCCGCGTCCGAAGGTTGAGTTATCGTCAGTATTTCAGGCTTTTTCATTAGTGTTCTTACTCTTCAGAATGTACGGGTCGTTATAGAAATGGTATGCTAGCATAGTTTCTTTTTATGAATAGATTTATAGATGAATGCTTTGATTTAATAGGCGGAAATCCTTTGGTGCGATTAAATTTTGTTGTTGTGCTTCAATATCAATGCTGCCAATGTATTTGTGGAAGACTACTATGCTTGAAACTACTTAATATAAATATTTTTCCCTTATTGCGATGTTTTTGATCTACATAGGTACAAGGCTTTACTCTCATAAGGTTGACATGCTACTCAGCGTGCCATGTTAAGTGATATCATCTATGGAAATATCACACCCAGTGTGAACCAGTGTCGAGCATTACTCGGGAATATCGTGTTGGGTGGAACTCACACCGCTCCGGAAAAGTGGTATTTAAAAGGGATGTATACTCCAGAGAGCTGAGGCAACTTCGAGCCAGGGGGAGTGTAGCCAGTCTACAGGGGAGGGGGTGAGGGCAGTCACTTGACATGCGTGAAAAGCTGGAATGTTCGAGTTCACACTAGTTCGCCGAGAAAGCTGCATCATGATGTCCCCTCCCCCTAACTTGGACAGACCCGGTAAAAGTTAGTGAATAATGATTTTAAAAAGATTTTTGTGATTTCTTGGCAATTTTGAGAATTTTAGGGATTTTCTTTCTGATTGCTCATCTGATTCGTGGGCTGCAGGATTAGATCCAGATGGAATGGAAGAGAGCCAAGGGGTAGAGGTAAGGTTGGAACCCCAAGTAGAAATCATATTGGCGCTTGGTGAAATCGTTTTGCCAATTATCCCGACAGGTGGCTCACCGTGACCAATCCACTCTTCCACCTCTCCCCCATTCCCTCATTCTTCACAACTCCATGTGGCAAACAAAATATACATACGTCGTGAACATGAATGGGAACCGAAAAAGCTAATGATTTCAGGATTAACCGGGAACAGAAGCATTCGTGTTGATCGAGGGAACACCATGAATGATGATCGGATTTCCTGGGCAGTTTTCACGTGTCTGCTTCCCCAAACCCTTTACTTTGAACACATCATGCCTCCACATTTTGTATAGAACACAGCTTATTAACACATTGACGACATTGAGACGCGGTAACGCGTCTCACTTTGCGCACCTCGTTGGACATTGAGACGCGGTTGCGCGTCTCACCCTTGTCATCCCTTTTTCTAGCGTATGCGGGGATTCTTCCCAATTTGCTTGCCTCTATTCTATGGATTACAACATACATAACTGTAAACGACATGGGTCACGGTGATCAAATATGCTTCAGTTTAGCAGAAGTTTTTCAACGCTTCCGGCCCTGGCGGTGGAAATTTTTCACCATCAAATTCAAACGATTGCATTGCCGCTGAAACAGCATGGTTTTCTAATCCTCTCGGGTCCTTTAAGTCAACCTTCTCTCCTAAATTCATGAGCTAAATTGTCATTCTCATTGTGTGTAGTGCTAGTAAATATTACAGTATTTGTACAGTGCGTACCAAAAGTATGTGGACACCCCTAAATCCATTCTCAAAGGGTACCAGAAGGACTTCCATGAGATGGGATCTGCTTCATTCGATTCCTCGTGGTCGATTACGTATAATTCCATTCTAGGGGAATTAGAGTGTTTCATTTTCGCGAATTTTTTTTGAAGGAAAACTTTTTGTTTGTATCAAAATTATGTGGACACCCGAGAAAAATCAAGCTCTGACGCCAGTATCTCCATAGTAGCTTTGATACTTTTCTTCGTGACTGTTCCGTCGTCATGCCCGTTCGTGGTAAGCTCCTATCTGAAGAAGAAAAAGCTCAGATCAGAGCTCTTCATGAAGCTGGACACTCCAATCGACAGATCGCACGTCAGCTTGGACGTTCTCCTACGTGTATAGGGAAATACATCCAGAATCCCGAAGCCTATTGTTCGAGTACAAGTGCGGGTCGTCCTCGACGCTTAACAGCTAAAGAACACAGAAGAATAGCCCGTATGGTCTCGAACTCGACCTCTTCCGTGAGCCAAGTCCGCGCTCTGCTCGGCTTGTCGGCATCAAGAATGACCATCTGGAGATCCATCCGATCGAATGAGCACATAAAACGAGAGTCCATGAAGAAGGCTCCCCGTCTGCATGCTCATCACAAGTTGGCAAGGCTGGAGTTCGCACGAAAAAATATGGCAACGTCGTGGGACAAGGTACAGCTTTTTGAAAAATTTGTAAGTTCAGGAAAAACATCAGCTACTGCAAATTTTCTTCTCAGGTCATCTTCACCGATGAGAAAAAATTCAATCTAGATGGTCCGGATGGATACCGCTGTTACTGGAGAGATCTTCGTCGTGATCCGCTGGTCTACTCGAAGAGGAATTTTGGAGGAGGATCATTGATGGTCTGGGGCGGCTTTGGAAGCAGCGGTAAATTGGAGCTCGCCTTCCCTTCATGTCGAATGGATAGTCGGGAGTATCAAAGAGTGCTTCAATTCCACCTCTTGCCATTTCTGAGAGGTGCACGACGCAGGGATCAAGTCTTGCAGCAAGACAATGCATCCGTCCACGTCTCGCAGTCTACAAGAGAATGGCTCCATCGCTACGGTATTAACGTACTTGATTGGCCAGCCTGCTCTCCTGATTGCAACCCCATCGAAAACCTATGGGGGATCATGGTTCGACGCGTATACGTCAACAATCGTCACTACAATAGCGTAGATGAACTGAAGGCGGCGATACTGGAAGTATGGGAGAGGATCGACGAGACAACCATCGCGAACTTGATTCAGAGCATGCCGAACAGGAATGTTCGAGCTGATTCAGAAACTCTGGAGGGCCCATCGATTATTGATCTCAATCGTGTTGCTTTGTTTTGTAAAGTGTCCACATAATTTTGATACAAAGAAGATTGTTTCCATCATTATTAATAAAGTAAAACCTACTCAAAATTGTAGAAAAAACAAGTGTTTCTAGGTTTTCGCATTCGAGGAATTGAATAATAAAGGTGTTATAGTTCAAAATTCATTCTTAAGCCCGCTGGACTGAAATAATGAGGTGTCCACATACTTTTGGTACGCACTGTATAATGAACACCTTTCCAGTCAATATGAATTGAGAAAACAAGAAAAAAAGAAAGAAAACAAGAAATTTCTAAATTTGTACATAAATTGAATGAATAAGCAATGATGACAAGGTGCAGTCATTTTTGACGAAATTCATCGATAAGATAGCATAACTGCGTTCACCATAGAACTTCGGAGCAGTATGGTTTCTGGCCTACAACCCATAGTTCTACTTTTCACCTATACTTTTGTTTTGGAGCCATTTCCAGCCTATTTTAATCTGGCACTCAGGGTCTACAAAAGCCATAAACAGTTTGCATTTATGCAAAGCTCTTTGATCTTTGGAACATAGTTATAGTTTAACTATTATGATACCGACTATGCTTAAAGCGTTATATGCTTTTGGATATTCGGGCTGCTGATCGGTGCATAATATTTTTGCATCTGTTCTTATTATTTATTGTTATTTATTATTTCGGTACCACTCCATACCTAAGTTTATTTTAAAGTGGGTTGTTTTCCAGCGTGAATTCCTCCCTTAAAGATTCGAGTTAACCTGAGCGATTCTCCGTTGATTTGCGCATTGATGCGACTCTTCATCGCGGTGCCCTCCTCAACATCACGCTCTCTCTGCTATCTAATCAATCCCACGTATAGATCTGCGGCGAGTGATCAGCTGGTCGGTGGGCGGAGATCGCCAGACCCGCCAACTTTGAGGCATAATAGGTCGCCGAGGTCAAATTTTTCGATGCGAATTGCGCATCAGTTCGCACCCTCAGGAGGTCCGTGGGTCCCCGGCCAACTAGGAATTACTCTTCACTCACTCTAATTTTGACATTCTCCTTTTTATAAGCCGAAGCACACAAAGCCAATTCGTTATCTTGTTGACGCATAAGCCCTCCGACTGTAGCAGTTTGATTTGCTGTGAAGCAGAGTAAATTGTAAAGCGTTAGAGTGCATCTGCTATAGCTGAGCATGTCTACTGTATATTAAAGGACGAATTCACGATGAAAAAGCAACCCATTTCAAATTAACCTAGGGATGGTGAGTGGTACACGAAAGAAGGAAGAACCATGAGAAACGGCCCAGAACCCGAGAAATGGGACCCCTTCCTTGCCCGTTGATTCGAGCATTGATGCGACTCTCATCGCTGTGCCCTCTTCAACACTACGCTCTCTCACCTA